TCTTAGATATCTGCATTGACCATATACTTCCAATACACTGTTCCCAACAGGTACCTTCAACTTTCTTATTCTTCATGTTGCTTCTGTGCACCTTGACCTACCATTTGAAGGGCTGAAAAATTCCCTTCCCTTATATGCATGGGAACATAAAATGTGGTAACACTATTTCTTACCGACAGCAAGTTTTTTCAGTAGACTATGAAAAATCTGTCTCTTTTTTCTCAAAAACTGTTCATCCATCTTTGTAGTTGTGTTGTCCTTCCAGGACCATATGAACCCAAACAAATGCACATAATATTGCAGGTGCTGTCCTACTTGGACAATAAGGAAACATATTGTTACCTCCCTGCACGCTTACTGGCAAAGCATGTTTCTTCAAGAACAGCACTGTCTCTCCCCTCCCCAGCGTTGCCCCAGAAGTTTTAGGAGCCCAAGGCAGGTTTAGTGCCCCCTAAATCACTGCTGTTATCAATGCAGGCTCTGCAGCTCTGCTCCAGGTGCTCTGCAGGCACAGAAGGTCCTCTTCCTACCCTCACCATCCCTTCTGAGTGCTCCTAGCCCTCCTCAGCATCTCCAGCCTCCCCTCCCGCCTTCCTCTTCCTTTCCACACTGCTCCCCTGCAGCACCATTCCACGTCTACCACTTCCCTGCACACTTTTCTTCTTGGCCATATAACCTGCATTGCCTTCTGCCAGGGCCAGGGGCCCACAAGCAGTCAAGCAACCAGCATTTATAGAGATGAGGAGCGGGACAGCTGTGCTCCCACAGGGCCAGAGTGTCCTACTACAGCACACAGAGGCGTGAAGGTCATGCAAACGATCACAAAGACCTCCTTCGCTCCTTTACATGGCGTGGGGCAGCACAGCTAACATACATTTGTTAACACACTTGCCAGAGCTGTTGGCAAGACCCGTTTGGCAGTCAGAAAGGAAGGAAGGTCTTCATGTCTCGTCTTAATACTCTTCTGTCCTATCTGTAGTTTGGATTTTTCCTCCTGTTGTGAAACATGATGAGTCATATCTGCAGGCTGCAAGGGGAAGGCAAGGTAAATGGAGAGCAGGAAAAGAGCTAGGCAGGAGGGAAGGCTGCTGTCACCAAATAGCCTCCAAATCATCACTACACAGCTACCACTTGCTTCTTCAGAGTACTACATATACCCTCAGCTTTGCCTAGCCAAATCCCAGGGGTGGAGGGGAACTTGGGAACAGCCACCCTGTGTTACACGTTCCTGCCCGAGAGCAGCATCCATGGCACTGCGCTGCTTTAACCAGAAGATGCAATAGGAACAGCCCCTGTAAAGGGCAGACTGGCAAGAGTGTTTGTCAGGCAGCTAATGCAGATCTAGGAAGAAAGCAGCACTTCAGAAGGCCAAAAGGAGCATGCTTGGATCAGGATATTCTGAAACTGACTTTACTGTTGCCTTTTATGAAAATTGGCAGAAGTCCCACCCACCCTGGCTGCTCTACTCTGCCATATGTCCCATCTCCAGAAGCACCACAAATATACTGGGAAAAATCTTCCTGTGCCAAATGTTTCAAACACAAATCTAGAAGGATGCAAGTATCATAGTAGCTGATCTGATTCACACCTCATACATTTTTCATACAGTAATTTGAATATAAATATGGTATGGTCATAGACACGGGGCATCTACTCCAGCAATATCAGTGCTGCAACACTGAATGCCTGTGGAAACACACCGATGTAAATCCACGATGCTCAGGTAGAGTAGGACCAGGTATTTTTGATGTGGCTGCTGAGCTGAGAGTGGGAAACAGTTTTCCCACCTTACAAAACACATTCACAGCCTCGTACATATACCTGCTCTGTACCATGACAAAGCCAATCTCATTCATGGTCTTCTGTGAATAAACCAAGGCAGAGAGCCACCTTCCAGAGCTAGAGAACTTGCTGTGCAAGAACACAGTTCAGATTGGACAGAACAGTCCAACTCAAGTGCCTGCTCTACTTAGGTCAGATAAAAAACTTGAATCTCAGTCTGTCACCTGTCAGCTCGGAAACTAACTTCAGTCAAGCTGATTTTTCTCTCACCAAAATGAGAACTCACGCCTGGATTGTGGCTTGCTTCTGGTTCAAACTGCTCCATTTATTCCCACCAGAGGACTTCATTTTCTCTATTAATTGCTCTTCTTTGACCAAAAAGCAAAAGCAAAATACTGTCACTTAAAAATGTCCAGCCAACTCTACACACAAATCTGTTGTGAGGCCTGCTTATCTCAGTGTTTCTACCAGAGCTGACAGTTGCTGAAATATAGCCACTAGAATTGCTAGTGTTGACAAGGCTTTAAAGCATCATCACACTGAGTAGCCATTAGAGGTTATATTTCATTGGAAGTAATGTAATTCAATTACCATCACTCTTCAGTATGATCCATCTCTGGAGGCTGACAATATGCCATATCATCCATCAGATTTTAACCTGAACTTTGCATTCTGGCCCTATAGATTGCCAGTTCTCCATTATGAATGGCTTCATATTTTTAGCCTCATTTCTTAAGGAAAAGAGGTCATACAAGTATTCTGTCCCTCGGTCTGCCTGCTAGCCTGTCAGTCCTTCCTTAGCTTTTCGAACAGTTTCAATCAAGACGCAAAGGTCTTCAAGAAAATTAAGTTCCTATCAATTTTGTGACTAATCAGAGACAGGGTAAAGAAAAGAAATCACTTGCACGTCCTGCTTGGGAGTGGTGAGCTAGGCAGTGAGCGCAAACCGACAGTCGAGTGAGCGCGGACAGCTAATGCCGTCTCTTTCTCAGTACAAGAAGTGCAAAAGGCTGGGAAATTTGGGGTATAGCAGGGAGAGAAAGTAAGGAGAGACCCGTGTCTCAGGCCCGTAGGAAAGCAGGCTCCCTCAGTACTGCTGTTCATGGAACAACTTTTTTACTAACACGCTGAGCTTAATAATTTACAGAGAAGTTCTTGTGTATTTTTCTTCAGTAAAGAATCTTTTCAGTAATTCACTTTGACAGTCAAATATATTACATACACAAAATATAAATTACATAGAAAAATGATTTACTATTTACTGTCCCAAGTCTATGTATTTAAGGTCTATCGATAACTAGTCATTTCTATATTTCTTTCGTTTTCTGAATATCTGAAGTGTAGAATAACTTAACCGATACACTGATTTCACATTTATGTGTTTAAATGATTACTCTTAGTGCTGATTTTCAACATTACTGATTCATATTACTGTTGGTTTTCTGCCTTTTTGCTGCCTAACTGAACCATAAAACTACTCACGACTTAATTGCTTCTTTATACTATAGATCAGCTGCACAAGAACTGTTACTTATCACAACGTGCTTACTATCTGTAGGCAGCTTGTTTCCATCTGTCGTTGCATCCACTCCTTTCCTCTTTGCCCTTCCATTCTTCCAACCTCCTCCTCCTCCCCCTCTTCCTCGACCATGTTGCCATTGATGCTAAACTCCTTTCCTTTCCCCTTTCCCACTCCCTGGTTCCCACCACCTCTGTGTCTCCCCACTTTCTCCTTGTCCACACGTTCTCTGTCCAAGCCTTGCCCCTTACCTTACCACCTCCTGTTCTGCCATCCTAACTCTGTGCCATTTTCTGCGCCTTTCCACACTTCCACTCTTCGCCTGCTCTTCTCCCAGAGGACAATCACCTTGCCTGCCCTACTCTCCTGCTCTCACAGAAGAGGTCGTTAGGGAGGGATCAGTGAATCTGGACATCCTATGAAAACAGTTCTGCTGGACCTTCATATTTCAAGGTCTCTTCCACAGATCGTGTATTGGGAAGCTGGACTTCCTTCTTACTCTTTCTGTTTTCATCCTCTACTCATCCTCATTTTCTCACATTTCCTATCACTCTAGCTGTTGTCCCACTCAATTCCTTCCCCACCCTTTTTCCAGTTTCCCCTCTGACACGCTTATCTTCAACTACACCCAAAATCACACTCGTTGCCACTTTAACTCCTTTTTGAGTGTCTCTCTGCAATGCCTACCCCACCAGAGGCCCACCAGCATCTGCTCGATCATTGGTATCCTCTCCTTCGAGCCTCTGATGAACCCCAACGAATACAGAACCTCCCTTCGTTTTAGATATTTGCTTCTCCCTTGGACCTCCCATCCTCTTCCTCAAACCAGGGTACCTCTCTAGTCCTGCTAGCTTTGTCAGTTTTGGAGCCTGGCACTTTACTGCTCGAAGTGGCTGTCTTCTTTTATCTGGGCAGTTACCTACTCATTTTCAGGTACCCGTGCCCATGATCTGGGCAGGGTATGAACTCCAGGGGCTGCCAGAGGTCTCGAATTCCTAGAAAGGGCCATGTCCCACACAGCTCTGCTGCACAAGGCAGAGGTCTCCAAGACAGCCTAGAACTGCCAAGGACGGTCATCCGTCAGCCACAGGCAGGTTTCTTCAGTGTTTGAACTCCACATCAGAAATGCCTATTTTTACTGCTTCCTCAAACCATTCCTCACCTCTGCTGCCATCCCTACAGGGAGCAGCAGCCAAACTGCCAGGACACAACCACAAGCCTCTTGCCCTCATTCCTGTGCTTTTCATAATTTTTATCCATTCTCATTTCTTCTTTTCTCACCCACATATGTCCCCCTTTACCTTCCCCACCGCTTGCTCTTGCCAATTCCAAGAAAGTTCTCTGCCTACTAACAAAAAGCAGTGACTTTGTCTCCTTTTAAGTCTCTTCTGAAATGAACTTTTACAGATCTTACAGTATACCTTTTAGCCTTCAGCAACCAGCTATGGCCATTAATCTCTGCTGCTTATATCTAAATTGTGCTCAGTATACATCACTTATTCCTGATTTTGTCACCCATTCCCTCTCCCTTATTTGTCATTCCGCAGGAGAAAATCTTGTTTCTAATTAGACCACAAGATATTTAAAGCAGAAATAGTATTTGTACAGCACCTAGCACAATTAGGGCTTGTAGAAGCTCTATGCTATTTTTGTTATAGAGCACAAAGGTTATAATTTTCGGAGACAGCTAGGAACTTACCGAGCCATACAGTTCCCCTTTCTCATTCATTCCAAGGTAGAGTCCACTGTCTACTCCTCGAATGCTGACCAGGCCCACTGCTATACTGATAAATTCCAGTATACCTACAAAATACAGGAAAAAAACAATGTACATGTTGTTTCCATTTAAAGATTTTTCTCGGATGTGACTGATCTCTGGGTGAATAGCAGCTGTTTTCAAAGAAGTTTTTCCATTTTCAGAGTTGTTTTGAGGAAGTTGAAGAACAAAAGAATATATTTTCAATTGTGGTTCTTGAACAGTTAAGTCCTTAAGTGCGTACTAGAACGATGCATTGCAGGGAGCATTAAGGTACCAAATTAAAAGATTATTCTCAATCTTTCTCAGCACTTTTTAAACATAAATCTAAAGCTCAGTCATATTATACCACATTTGTCAGTATTCTGATTTGCACAACAAACAATATATTCAAAGAAACAAAATCAAGTATTCAGATAACCGAAGTTACCATGATTAAAGAAGTTAAGAGATTTGTTTTGCAAAATGAATTCCTAGAAATACATTTGCATCTGAACCGCGAGATGAAAATAAAATGTTACGCACAGGCTACACAGACAACCAAAAGATCTACTTCGAGGCATCAATGAATCAGGAATACATGGAAAGAGTTTTACTCACAGTATGATCTTCCAGAGGCTCCAGAAATGGAAAATCTGTGGAAAATCTAGACACATTTGTCTAGATAGTAATCATTCTAATTCTCTGGAGTGCAATTTTTTACTCATCACAAATCTGAAAATTAAAATATTCTCAACCTAAATAATAGTGTATAAATGATTAATTCTTCTTATACACGTTATAGCAACGCCACGCAGAAGCACTTGTGCACTACAGCTAAGGACACTTTGCAGAGAAGCACTGCTTTGCAAAGCTCCCTAGGTTCAGCATCAATGTGCATGGTACAGCAAGTGTCTGTATCAAATAGCAAGTCATCCGCTTCTGAGGGACTGGGTTTTTTTGGCAGCCTTCCCTGCAAATTGCTTACCTCTTCCATGAGGATGCTACCAGCCAAGCCTTGCATAAGTCTAGAATTCTTGTGGAAAAAAATGGAAATTGCTTCCTATTTCAGAGTGTTCATGTAAGTCTAGTGATCTCACAGGAGTTATCCAGCAACATTAAGCAGCATGCTGCCACAGTATACTACTTTTCTGGGCCACATAATAAAACATAGAGTAGCGTTTTCAATATATTTTTTGAATTTTATGTCTAAGCACACTGCAGAACCATTTTAAAGCTTTTTGGAAATTATATTTACATGAAATAATAAAATAACAGTATAATATGTGTTGAACCTCACATGGCCAATAAAAAAGCACTTTCATGGATTTTTTGAACAATTAATTTGGCATCTCTCACAAAATAGTTGTGCGCTAATCAATAACAGGCATGAATCACATAAATCTAGCAAAGCACACGTTGAAGCCAATAGGGAAAATTTATAGCCCAGCTAATGTAAAGATGAAATGTATTCCCTGTAAGGGACTATTGATCATTACCTTATATATTATTCAGTACTACAAATACCATATTCTTAGTGTTTTGATAACCCTGTTTTAAGGCCTAGGCATTTTAAATTATTCTCTACAAACATACAAGGAAAAAGGCTTCACAAACACTGAGAGGAAATATTTAGTAATTATGGAATTTTTTGAAGTAATAAAAAGTGGTAGTATGTTGCTTATACGGTATGCGACAGCATCTCTGATACAATTGATTCATTGAAACAATTTAAACATTCCCCTTATATCTGGACATGCAATACTTCCAGATTTCCTAATAAAGCTTTTTCTGTAAAGCTTTCACCGAACTATCATATTACCTGATATATATTACCAAGCAATTTTAACTGAAGTTAAATCTTATGTTAAGTGTGTATTATACCATACTGTAGCTAAGTTAGTGAGTCTGGCATCTTTCACATCAGTATAAATGTAGACTTTAATTGCTGCCCTCATTTCAGGTATTTGGGTGCACACTGCTTAGTGTGCTAAAAGAACAAAAAAAGCACTGTCACATCCTATTGTGAGTGCAGAAGACAAGTTTAAGGTACTTGGCAAAGAGCATCCACATACTTGAGATCAGAATAGACGTGTTCATTTAAAAAATTCAAAAGCCTATTCACAACACGCTTTATGTGCCGTGCTATGAAGCGCTCAAGCAATTGTCTGGGGCCAACCATGCAGTCTGCCCCAAGTTCTGCTAGCTTAAGGATTGCATGATTTGGCCCAACGCTCCTGTGAATATCTTTACTTTATAGTTTCTGTAATGTGCACATAGTACTTAGGATCTGAACCAGATGTTAAAATAGATATTCCTCTTCAGAATGAGGCTGGAGCAAAAGAAAATCAGGACAGCTCCCAATTTTAAAGGTTAGGGCCCTATTTATAGTCAAAAAAAAGGGGGGGGGGAAGATGGGAGAGAGAAAGTAACTGTTTCAGTACATGGGATCCCCTGGAATATCTTGTCGGACACTGCAAAGACCCGCTCCTCCCCAAAGGGGTAGGAAGAAACTTTGTGGGGAAATTATTCCTTACATGTCCACATTCAGCCCTTCATCCACCTCCTTGCACATGATCCAGCTTTGGCCATGCTGAACGGCAGCACGGTACCAGTCTGGCCGTGTACGGCCGGTCCTGCCAAACTCACAGGAGACAGGAGGTAGGTCATTTACAAAACATAACATTTTAAGTTTCATCTGGTTTAATCCATGGCGAAGAATGGAACGACAGCACACGTCTGCCTTGGCTTTAAGCAATGAATATCTTTGCAACGATGGATCTTTTTCTGTTCCACCCTTTGTGCATTTTTGTCCTTTGCTATGTATAGTTTCTCTTCGTATTGCCGGGTTGAAGCAGTTTAGCTCCACTGAGCACCCTAAAACACACTCTACAATAACTAATACAGTAAACAAGCATCTCTGCCAGCCGCTTCTTTGTCAGATTTCCAGAGGAAGTAATGAGGTTCCCAGCACAGAGAAGGGAAGCCACAGAGGACTTGCAGACCCAGAGCAAGGTAAATAGAGCTGCGTTGCAATATATTTAGCAAACAATCATTCCGCCAGAGAGAAGCGGAGAGGAGAAAAAAAAAAAAAAGAAGACGACGACGAGCACTTCCTCGCGGTGAAGTTGCTGCGCGTGCAGCCTCGCGAAGGAGCTCGCGGCGGGGGAGGCCGGGGCAGAGGCCAGGAGGGAGTTCCCAGGCTTTCCCCTCTCCCCGCAGAGCGAGCAGGGCTGCTCCGCGCCCGCGCCTCCTTTCCCCTGACACCTACTGTCTGCTTGGAGAAAGCTCCGCATTTGGCACTCCGCTGGAA